TTAAAATATTTTTAAATGTCTTAGTATACAGTTTAAAGAATAAATTAATTGCATATTGAATTTGGTTTAGTAATGAATATTTGTATTAGATCATGTTATATGTTTGCCTTTCTGTTTTTTCAAATGAGGTTTTTCTTGAAGAACAATAGATATATTGTTAAATCTAATCAGTATATTAAATATTCAAACTTAAATAGCTTTTTTTTTTAAATATAAGACTGATTTTGAAACAGTTTTTAAACAATTCTGACAAATGAACAAGAAATCTCAAACCAAATCCAAGAAGTTGAATCCAAATAGACAAGACATACATTGAACTCAAATCAAAATATATGAAGACATTCCAAAAAATGTTTTTAAAAATAAGTAATAAAAAAAAGCAAATACACTAGGAAAGAATTTCAATAATATATTTAAAGTTATATTAAAAATATAAATATAGGCCTATATGATTGAAGCTTTGATGTAAATATATAAGTCTATATATAATTTATTAATAGAGATGTTTTGTCATACCCTAAATATTCTACAGATTAATAATGTAAGTGAAAATTAATATAAGAAATCAAAACCATTTATAAAAAGCAAGTGTAAACATTTTAGAATTAGAAATTACACTAATTATAGGCATAAAAAACATTTAATGTGTAGGAATGCATTTAATATATGAATTATATTTATATAAAAATATTTTATATTCAAATTATATAGTTTTAATTAGTCCTCATGTTTAAGAAATATGCTCTATACATTGTATAAATAACTTACACTATTTTATAATTTAGAAAGCATTGATAATGTCGATGAAAAAGTTGATAAAGTTCATATAAAATAAAAATAATTAAAAAAAATAATGTTATTAAGCATGAATATTGATTATTAGTAAAAAAGTGATGAAAAACATGATCAGGAATCTTGAGAAATATAAATTAATTTATAATAGTAATAATAATAATTCTTATTTTATTTGAACAAAGTATATATTAAAAGTTATTAATAATTACGTTTCAATAAACAATTATAATTTTTACAATTATTTTTTAGAGTTAAATTTCAGAAAATTTCTTAATTGTAACACTAGACAACAGATGTCGCCACTTAATGGACGTCAATGATTGTAATGCAGCCCGCATCATAACATTCAAATTAACACTTTGTAATTAAAAAAATGGATTAGGTCATATTAAAATTAATATACATGTATTAAAATTTCTCGTAAGATACTTAAGTTAAAATACTTAGGAGCAGAGAAAGATAAGCACTTTAATAAGATATTTAATTTTATTTCTGTTTAAAAGAATTATTTAAACATTTAATTTTTAATCCATTATTAACTTTTTATAAACTGCCCGAAATAATTTGCAAATATTATTCTATGATATTAAAGGTATGGGGTTTCACTGAAGAATAGTTGGGCTACATATCAAAATCTTGGGGTGTTTTTTTTTTTTCATTTTATGTATTTTCATCAATTTTTCTTTATGCATATACTTATCTGTAGTATATAACAATTCATAATATACTAAAAAATTAAAAAATTTCTTAAAACAATTATTAGATCAATTATCAGATGTTGATAACCTCATATCAATATTAATAATAATTTTTTGTAGATAGAAAGCTGTAATTCCGATGAATGATAACCAATTGCTTCAGCAGAAAGCAGTTTCTTGTCATCATCACACTTAAGACGTTTACCACTAAACATCAATATTCGATAATGAAGATAAATATTTCCATTGTTACCGGTTGTCATTGGATTTGCAAAGTATAGTACGCGTGCCACTGATAATGAACCAAAGAATTCCGTACACAGAAAATAACAAATTACCTGTTATTGAATAAATTACTTTTTCATTTATAACTAAATTTTTGTTCAAAGCTAAAAATTTAATACAATATTTTATAACGTGTAATCATTAATAATTTTACAGTGAAATAATTAAACTGTTAAGTTTACAGTTAACTATGAATATTCATGTGAATAAGTTGAGTGTCCATTATTGTATTTTACGTAAATTTACAGCAAAAATTTCTTGTAAATCAAGTATATTTTCTCAAAATTACTATTATTTTCCATTTATTTATACATATAATGATACCACAGGAGATAGCAGATGCTTCGTAACGACCAAAGTTTCAATGGTACATTCATAGGGAAGTGCGTGGTACAAGTATCAATAAAAGTAATAGGAATCAGTCAGTGACCTAACCTCTTAAAACAGGAGTTTTTCTTCTTGTTTCGCTTTTAAAATATTTTTATAAGTAGCAGAAAGTTGATTTTGCCTTTAGCACAACTTAATTCTTTTCATAGTTTTACGGAAATTATGTAAACTGACACACAGGAAAATTATACACGTATAATTTGCTACGTGCCCGTTATATTGTTACAGATGAAAGCATTTGTTAATAAGTTAATTTTGAAGATAAATAATTAATTAAATTATTAAGCGAAGTATTCTCGGTAAACGAAGAAGTGTAATAAGAATGAGACCACACTAGCTATAGGTGAGCTTTTTCAAGGTCGCATGCCAACTCGAACTTGTAACGCTTCAGGCAAAATGGAACGAGATTTCAATCCCTTAAGGATTTTGTCTCTCACCTTTAACTTCCTGTCTAAAGAATTGAGATATTTTGATTAACTCCATATCAAGCAATTTAATACTGTGTAAGGATAAATGGTATAATATACACCAGAAGGCGGTTACAAATATAGTTAAAAGTATTTTAATTTTGTGATTAACTGGTAAAACTTGATATTTTGATTGAGTCTTTCGAAAAATAAATCTATTTAAATGCTAATTTGTTATTTGTTATTATTATTGTTTTTATTATTTTATCCTTAAAGGAAAGTGTTAATATGCATTAAAATATTTTCAGCTCTTTAAGTCATTCTTTACCAAATGAAAAATTTAAAATTACTGTAATTATAAATTATAAAAAAATTTCCTCTTTCTAATTTCTTAGAATTAATCAAGTTTTCAGTATTTGAGTTTAAAAATTTTTATTTATTTATTTATTTCTAATCGGAGTTTAATTTCAATGAAGAAGCAATAAAAATTTGCCTTTATTTTAGGGGAAAAAAGGTTAAAATTTTAGCATCACTTCAGCAAAACTAACCTCTAAAAATTGAGTTTAACTAAGAGTTTACTTTTTTCTCCATCCTCTAAAGAAAAAAAAGGCCAAAATTTTAGCTAAAATAAAATTTTGTTTGAGCTGAAGTTTGACGAAATTGATAATGATTTATGATAATTAATACAATATTTAGTAAATAAAACAAAGGGTGTATATGTTAAAATTTATAAAAATAGGAAGATGTCAAGGTTGAGAGAAACTAAGAGTGATAATCTTTATACAACTCTTCTAAGAATCAAGGTCGTTTCCACTGCCCACCGAATCGACATTGTTGGTCAAGTTCCAATCTCTTCCCAAATGGCCTTGGACGATAGTGAAATTAACCATGATTATGGGATGATTCAAATACTGTAAAAAAATCAAAATATTTATTTTTTTTTAATTCATACGTAAACTCATTATAAAAGAATGAATTTTATCTTCCTTATCTTTCTCAGAATTCTTTGAAGTACTTTAATGGGTTAAGCAGTTTATAAGTGAACAAACACTTTTATGATGATGTAAAGGAAGAAGAGAAAAAAATTGCATTATTTAAAGATAAGATTGAATAAATATCTAATAGATTTAGCAAACTGCGAATCGCTAGAATGCTTCACTGATTTATATAATGGAAGAAGGGGAATTGGACTTTCAATCTTTTAAAGTTAGAGTAAGGGAGAGGCAAGCACTTCTTTGGTAGTTTTTTCTTTTGTTAAAAAAACCTAAAATGATCAAGTTTAGATAAGATTTTATTATAAAATTATTGTGTATTTTTATATACACAAATTGTATATATTTATAAAAAGAAGAGTGATTTATTAAACCACAAAATAAATAAATAAATAAAAGGAAATTCTTCTTAATTTGATCAATTAAATGAACTTTTAAGTGTAAACATAGAATTTTATTATAAAAATTATAACATAAATAATTCTTTAATAAATAAATAAACATTTCAAATTTTTAGAATGTTTTTCTTTTAATGTTATGACTTAATAAGTAAATTTCTTCTTATAAAAAGATATAATTTTATTTTAAAAAATTATAAAAAATAGATTCATTTGTTGAGTTATAAAAATAAGAGGAATTTATTTTATAAAATATCAAAGTAAAAAATGACATATTTTTCTAAAATTTAATTAAGAGTAATAAAATTCCTTTATTATATTCTAGATTTATTTTCTTTTTTATTATTAAAAAATGTTTAATATTTTGAAATTAAACATAAGTATATTACTTTATATTTTAATTCAAAGTTTACATAATTCGTAACACTTTATTTCTAGAAAAATGCATATTAAATTTTGAAAAGAGGAAAATTTTCTGTTAAAAAAAAGTATAACTGAGTTAAATTTCCTTATCGAATTTTAGGGGAAAAACGTATTTATATTTGTTTAATTTCCTGAAATGATAAGCGGAAAATAATAATATATTGATTTTATTTTAATTAAATGTAAAATTTCATGAATGACTTTTAAATGTAACTTTTTATTAATTAAAGTGCAAAACGAGATTATATTATGATAAATATACTATTGAATTAAATAAAAATTGCTTAATTTTAAAAGTAAACAAGATGTAAAAGCTTTATTATGGCGGGAAGAACTTTCCAAAGTTACAACCACGTGACCGACATACCAACCATTAGGAGGTACAACATTATAAAACACTTCATAGTACTTGAGCACCTTAAGGGCTTTGGGAATTTTCTAGTTTTTCACCTACCAAATCTTAATAACCGCATCAAATCCTTAAAATAAAGTGTTTAATCATTAATTTTAATACAAATTTTATAATTTTTTATATAGAATTTTATGTTTTTTAAACTTTATTTTGCCACTTTGTTACGTTTCCTATATCCCTCCGCTGTCTCTTGGTTCACTCAGGTGTGAGTAGGTAGCGCAGAACTCGGAGTGACGAGGCAAGACGAAGGTGGAACAGATGTGTCCTCTCGTAGACAAATAGTGTTTTTTTAGCTACTTTTATATGTGATCCTGTAAACAAACAATATATAAAAATGACTTGTTCTGCAGTTACTTTATCCATCGCTACCATTGCTGCAGTTGTTGCTGTGTCCTGTTTAGCTATAGCGTTTGGTACAGATAATTGGTACGAAATTCGTGTAAATAGAAACAGAACGAAAGAAAGAATTGGAGATAATAAGGAATATTTAGAAGATTTCGAAACTGATCCCATCTATTTTGACCGTGATGAGGGTCTTTTTAGAGTGTGTTTCCCCAATGGAAAACCTAAGAGAGGTAAAGTTTTAAGTTTCTTTGTTACCTGTACAGTACCTTTGAATGTAGACGAAGTAACGTATTGCTCAATGTTTATGGCCGTGTTTTTCTATTTTTTTAATACTTTAAACAGCTTACATTATATAAAAAAATTTAACTAGAAAATATTTTAAGCTAAAAACTATCAGCAGTTTTATTTTGTTTATCATTGTTTATACAAATTAATAACGCTTTGTAATGTTCGGGATGACGAATTATATTTCTATAAACAACTAAACAAAGGTTATAAAGGTAATTAATTAACCTAAATACAATTAAACGATTCATCAGTTCGATTCTTAATCATAAAGAAAATAAAGCGCAATTCACGCGTGAAATTTGTATTTAATCTGAAATTAAAAATAGTAATAATAATTGGTATTTTAATATTGAGATCTCATAAGAGAAATTTCGCTTGAAGATTTTAATCACTCATTTTCAACTTTAAATAAGGCCTACTTAAAATTAATAAATAAGAGACATTCAGATTTCACGAAATTGCAAAATTGATAGAAATCCATTGAAGCAATCAGAGAAAAGTAGGATAATTTAAAAAAAATTCGAACATTTTTTAAATAAAAAAAAGGTAGGTTTTTGGTCATACTCCTTTCCAAAATTACACAACTCATATAGGACATTAAGACGAAATTAATATAGGCTATCTTCTGTATAGCATGTTGGGCAGTGTAACTGTGGAATGTTGAGACCTTATCAGGTTATTCTTAGCATAAGGAAGTTAGTGATGACCTGGATGATTCTAAATTTTATCGACATCATTGTCATATGTCGACCTAACTCGACGTCACATTAACTGCACGTAAAGTACCCCATATGAATATGCCTGAGACCTAAGTTTGTCCTGACATAAATACATCGAATATGTAGTCAATTATTTAAGGTTACAACATTGAAAAATTAAATATAGATACACTACGAAATAAAATAAGAATTATTCGAATAATTTTATGAATTTCTTTAATTATTTTTTCACGAAATACGTTAAAGTCTAGTGTAATTCGTGCTTGGTTAACTTCCCTTTTTCATTAAAGTTTAAGGAGAAATGATTCAATTGGATGGAATGTAAGCAAAATGAGAGAAATTATTAAATGTTCTACAAGATTTGTTATTAATGTAAGGTGAAGCGTGTAATAAAATGCCAATCTTACATATTATATTATAAAAAATTTATTTAAAATAAATGTCAGGAATAAAAAATAAAATCTAATGTTTAAAAAATTATAAAAAAAATATTTATTTTAATTTACTTAAAATATAAAAAAAGTAAGTTATTCTGACGCTAAATATGATATTGATTTGACGAAACATCTTCAAATTTTTTAGAAAAATTTTATTATTTTGAAATATTTTTTATTGTTTTGATCATTACTTAAATTAATCGCTTCATTTAAATTATTTTTTTCTTGTTTACATGTGCCACTTTTCTAAAATCCCGCTTTACTACCGAAGTGTAAAAAATCGATATTACATACTACGATGACCCTTCATTGCATTTACTATGATTCTTTAATGAAGATTCAATTGAATTTTTGATATGAACGATTATTTTAAACGCCATGTTGAATTCTGTACTAAATATTCGGATAGAAAACTGAGATAAAATTCTAAAAAATCTAAAAACAGAATTGAAAAACAATAAATATTATACAAGTTGATTTGTATCTTCTGTCAATTTAGCAAAGATAACGTTTAGAAAAGTTCAAAAATAGATGAAATTCTTATCAAATCTTCAATTTATATTAAGAATTTGAGTCATATTAAGCAATAATTCTTCAAAAAATTTCCTCAAACATTAATGATTTTTTGATTAATTCGAGAAGAATGGATGATTTTATTGAAAATTTGGAAGTTAAAAATGAGAAAAATATGCTTTAAAAACCCCTACATGATCATAAAACAACACTCTTTATAATTAATACACGTGGTGGTTTGTGTCGAGAAAGTATTTATTTGTTTAGAGGAATATCTTTTATTCACAGAATGAGAGAAGAGTCATGACAGGTACCGTGGACCACACCTATTTTGTGACGTCAGTCGGGCGCCTGTCGGAGTCGCCTCCACCTCAGATGACTTTATGCATCGTTAGTCCGTCCATTACACTGCATACTCATTAGAATACTCAATCTAATAAATACATTTTTCATAAAAATGGTAAAAAATGGACGAAATATGTTAATTACTAAGCATGCGCCTTAGCTTTGTTTCTAACGGTCGAGGCGTCAACCTTGTAACATGATTGTTACCAAGCATGCAGGTGATTAAAACTCGACGAAGGATGGACGAATTCATGACCTGGACAATGTATAAGACGTCCAATTAACCCATATTGCTGTCGAAACTTCCGTTAAAAAAATGGATATTTCTCTTACATAATAATATTCTTGTATAGAATTTCGAATAAGGTTAGTTAAGTAGGTATAATTTTATGTCTTTCTAACTTGCAACGACCTGCTATTTGTTAAAAATATACGTTAAATTTTTTAAAAAATTTATCACAATAATACATTATTTATTTTTAGTTCCCACCTATATGTCACCTGTCCAAACAGAATGCATCAATGTAAACTATCACATACCCGAAGGACAAGAAACGAAGGATTTCGACCAGAACCAATGGACTCGTTTACGTATGTGTATTTTATACATTAATTAAAAAATATGTATGAAATATTAAAAAAATGTAATTTTGAATTTTTAGATATGTCAAGATCTACCGTAGGTTTATTTATAGTGGGATTCTTTTTTATTTTTCTTTCCTTTTTTACTGGAGTCACTGGTTGTTGGAAAAGATCGCATGCAACTATAGTAGCAACAGGCCTCTTACAATTAATGGCAGGTGGGTTCAATATTTAAACAGTACTGTTTATTAATTTTCTTAAGTTTATGTACGTTTATATTTTCTAAAGTTACTTCTACACATCTATGAACATTCAATAACTTGTTTTATTTCCTCAAGGCCAAATGTACTTGTGTAGTTGGTTTTTATATATATACTAGTATATATTTTGAACTCTAGGAACAGTCTTTAGAATTAAGATTTTAATCTTATTAATCACTTGGTCTAAAATACCAGGAAATTATTTTTATTTAGCAATAAACTTTATTAATTTAGTAACATTTTATATGCATTATAAATCGATAAAATTCGAATAAATTTATTTGCATATTTAAACTATTTCTTTTAACTTTTTATGAAGTTTTTTACGGTAATTTTTACAATCATATATTTGCCTTTAAGTTACCATAATTTATTTTTTTTACAGCTTTAGTAACTGCTGGAGCAATGGGCTTATGGCATGGAGTACAACACTACGAATACGTGAAAAGAAACGATCGTGATTCGTTCTCACGATGGCCAGAAGTGAGTAAAAGTTGAAATTTATATTAAAAAATCAATTAAAAATATTTATCGAATACTTTTTCCTTAAAAATAGTTCCTGAAAAGTCGAAGCGTTACAGAATTTTATTACGGTTGGTCGTACATACTTGCATGGATAGGTGTAGGAATGACTCTGATGACTTCGATTTTATTTTTATCTGCTGCTAGATGTTTACGACACGAGAAAGACGAAGAACAAGCTAAAAACATGCAATACTTGATGCCTGTATACCCCGATAAACGTCAACCATACGGTTACGGATATGGATATCCTGGACCTTATTATTATCACGGATCACAATATGGTCCATATTCTTATTGAAAGATGAATTACGGATCTTAATACGAAATATATATGAATCTCATAAGCAAAATAGAATATAAAAATTGCACTTCGTATAAATAAAAAATATTTTTTAAAGTACAAAATGCAATTTTTTCATATCATTTTTTCTTTAAATTAAACAAAACAAGAGGATGTTTATGTAAATTAAATTCATAATAGTTTACAATTGAGATGTATATAAATTATAGTAACTGTATAAGTACTAACATTTAAGTGTATTTATTTTATTGTATGCAAGACTATTATGAATTTTCTCATGTTTTTAAATTGTAGACCTCCCCATTTAATAACGTAAATCAATATATAAAAATATATATACAATATATATATATATTTCTGTTTTGGAATTTTTAACAATGTTATNATGATAATTTTCAAAATAATAAATATATGTTTGTACATTTACTTAAAAATTGTTTAATATTTCTTAAAAGCGCCATCTTATGTTAAAATTTTTCAAGATGGCGGGCTGCGCGTCAGCTTGTTAAACTCGAGAATGACATTTGTCATTTGGTGAAATTTGTAAAGGAACTTGTTTATATAATCTAGTCGAAGTGATTTTAGGTACAATGGATAAGTTAACCGTTATTTCAGGAGCATTATTTTTAACCGCTGACATGTTTGCCGTTGCCAGCTTGATCCTTCCCGACTGGATCGTATCTGACGTCGGTGGTGATACACGTTTAGGACTAATACAGACGTGTATGACAATTTACGGACGAACACAGTTATGTTATGCACCTAATTTGCAGCCGGAATGGATGCTGACTTTGATATGTATTATAATTGGATGTTTATGTGTAACTATAACTATTGTGCTCTTGGTAATTTCTCAATGGAATATCTACGTTGTATCTTATGCTAGATGGGTTGGATTTTCTGCCATGGTTCTCTTCTGTTTAGCTGCAGTTATTTTTCCTATGGGTTTTACCATGGAAGAGATTGGAGGAGAACCTTATCAATTACCAAGCAGTCATCAAGTTGGACTCTCCTATATATTCTTTGTTTTAGCTCTGTGGATTACTGTCATTTCAGAGTTGTTTGCAGGAAAAGTGTGTATGCCACACTTCTAATTAATATTCAAAATGCTTTCTGTAATTCTAAATAGACTGTAGATGGATACTGTGTCATTTATATTTAGAATATGAAAGCATAATTGGTTTAAAATTGTTTATACTTAGAAAAGTGTACACTGTACATGTTACTCTACTGTGTAAATAGACTATTATTTATTTTTATGCATAAATGTAATGTTTTTTAGTGTGTGTAAAATTGATTGTCTTCCAGGAGATAATTTTAATTTTAAATAGAACAGAAAATTAGGTTAAAAATGCTAAAAGCTATTTCTGTTCATGTAAAATATTTTCTCTTAAGTTAGAATAATCTAAACAATTTTTCTGTTGTTAAAATTAGAAATAGTTTTTGGTTGCAATTGTAAAATGAAAGTGTTTTTACAAGTAAATGTTTCCCAATACTAATTAATTAAACACATTCAAAGATATAAAGCATTTATTTAAAATATTTTTAAATGTCTTAGTATACAGTTTAAAGAATAAATTAATTGCATATTGAATTTGGTTTAGTAATGAATATTTGTATTAGATCATGTTATATGTTTGCCTTTCTGTTTTTTCAAATGAGGTTTTTCTTGAAGAACAATAGATATATTGTTAAATCTAATCAGTATATTAAATATTCAAACTTAAATAGCTTTTTTTTTTAAATATAAGACTGATTTTGAAACAGTTTTTAAACAATTCTGACAAATGAACAAGAAATCTCAAACCAAATCCAAGAAGTTGAATCCAAATAGACAAGACATACATTGAACTCAAATCAAAATATATGAAGACATTCCAAAAAATGTTTTTAAAAATAAGTAATAAAAAAAAGCAAATACACTAGGAAAGAATTTCAATAATATATTTAAAGTTATATTAAAAATATAAATATAGGCCTATATGATTGAAGCTTTGATGTAAATATATAAGTCTATATATAATTTATTAATAGAGATGTTTTGTCATACCCTAAATATTCTACAGATTAATAATGTAAGTGAAAATTAATATAAGAAATCAAAACCATTTATAAAAAGCAAGTGTAAACATTTTAGAATTAGAAATTACACTAATTATAGGCATAAAAAACATTTAATGTGTAGGAATGCATTTAATATATGAATTATATTTATATAAAAATATTTTATATTCAAATTATATAGTTTTAATTAGTCCTCATGTTTAAGAAATATGCTCTATACATTGTATAAATAACTTACACTATTTTATAATTTAGAAAGCATTGATAATGTCGATGAAAAAGTTGATAAAGTTCATATAAAATAAAAATAATTAAAAAAAATAATGTTATTAAGCATGAATATTGATTATTAGTAAAAAAGTGATGAAAAACATGATCAGGAATCTTGAGAAATATAAATTAATTTATAATAGTAATAATAATAATTCTTATTTTATTTGAACAAAGTATATATTAAAAGTTATTAATAATTACGTTTCAATAAACAATTATAATTTTTACAATTATTTTTTAGAGTTAAATTTCAGAAAATTTCTTAATTGTAACACTAGACAACAGATGTCGCCACTTAATGGACGTCAATGATTGTAATGCAGCCCGCATCATAACATTCAAATTAATACTTTGTAATTAAAAAAATGGATTAGGTCATATTAAAATTAATATACATGTATTAAAATTTCTCGTAAGATACTTAAGTTAAAATACTTAGGAGCAGAGAAAGATAAGCACTTTAATAAGATATTTAATTTTATTTCTGTTTAAAAGAATTATTTAAACATTTAATTTTTAATCCATTATTAACTTTTTATAAACTGCCCGAAATAATTTGCAAATATTATTCTATGATATTAAAGGTATGGGGTTTCACTGAAGAATATTTGGGCTACATATCAAAATCTTGGGGTGTTTTTTTTTTTTCATTTTATGTATTTTCATCAATTTTTCTTTATGCATATACTTATCTGTAGTATATAACAATTCATAATATACTAAAAAATTAAAAAATTTCTTAAAACAATTATTAGATCAATTATCAGATGTTGATAACCTCATATCAATATTAATAATAATTTTTTGTAGATAGAAAGCTGTAATTCCGATGAATGATAACCAATTGCTTCAGCAGAAAGCAGTTTCTTGTCATCATCACACTTAAGACGTTTACCACTAAACATCAATATTCGATAATGAAGATAAATATTTCCATTGTTACCGGTTGTCATTGGATTTGCAAAGTATAGTACGCGTGCCACTGATAATGAACCAAAGAATTCCGTACACAGAAAATAACAAATTACCTGTTATTGAATAAATTACTTTTTCATTTATAACTAAATTTTTGTTCAAAGCTAAAAATTTAATACAATATTTTATAACGTGTAATCATTAATAATTTTACAGTGAAATAATTAAACTGTTAAGTTTACAGTTAACTATGAATATTCATGTGAATAAGTTGAGTGTCCATTATTGTATTTTACGTAAATTTACAGCAAAAATTTCTTGTAAATCAAGTATATTTTCTCAAAATTACTATTATTTTCCATTTATTTATACATATAATGATACCACAGGAGATAGCAGATGCTTCGTAACGACCAAAGTTTCAATGGTACATTCATAGGGAAGTGCGTGGTACAAGTATCAATAAAAGTAATAGGAATCAGTCAGTGACCTAACCTCTTAAAACAGGAGTTTTTCTTCTTGTTTCGCTTTTAAAATATTTTTATAAGTAGCAGAAAGTTGATTTTGCCTTTAGCACAATTTAATTCTTTTCATAGTTTTACGGAAATTATGTAAACTGACACACAGGAAAATTATACACGTATAATTTTCTACGTGCCCGTTATATTGTTACAGATGAAAGCATTTGTTAATAAGTTAATTTTGAAGATAAATAATTAATTAAATTATTAAGCGAAGTATTCTCGGTAAACGAAGAAGTGTAATAAGAATGAGACCACACTAGCTATAGGTGAGCTTTTTCAAGGTCGCATGCCAACTCGAACTTGTAACGCTTCAGGCAAAATGGAACGAGATTTCAATCCCTTAAGGATTTTGTCTCTCACCTTTAACTTCCTGTCTAAAGAATTGAGATATTTTGATTAACTCCATATCAAGCAATTTAATACTGTGTAAGGATAAATGGTATAATATACACCAGAAGGCGGTTACAAATATAGTTAAAAGTATTTTAATTTTGTGATTAACTGGTAAAACTTGATATTTTGATTGACTCTTTCGAAAAATAAATCTATTTAAATGCTAATTTGTTATTTGTTATTATTATTGTTTTTATTATTTTATCCTTAAAGGAAAGTGTTAATATGCATTAAAATATTTTCAGCTCTTTAAGTCATTCTTTACCAAATGAAAAATTTAAAATTACTGTAATTATAAATTATAAAAAAATTTCCTCTTTCTAATTTCTTAGAATTAATCAAGTTTTCAGTATTTGAGTTTAAAAATTTTTATTTATTTATTTATTTTTAATCGGAGTTTAATTTCAATGAAGAAGCAATAAAATTTTGCCTTTATTTTAGGGGAAAAAAGGGTTAAAATTTTAGCATCACTTCAGCAAAACTAACCTCTAAAAATTGAGTTTAACTAAGAGTTTATTTTTTTCTCCATCCTCTAAAGAAAAAAAAAAGAAGGCCAAAATTTTAACTAAAATAAAATTTTGTTTGAGCTGAAGTTTGACGAAATTGATAATGATTTATGATAATTAATACAATATTTAGTAAATAAAACAAAGGGTGTATATGTTAAAATTTATAAAAATAGGAAGATGTCAAGGTTGAGAGAAACTAAGAGTGATAATCTTTATACAACTCTTCTAAGAATCAAGGTCGTTTCCACTGCCCACCGAATCGACATTGTTGGTCAAGTTCCAATCTCTTCCCAAATGGCCTTGGACGATAGTGAAATTAACCATGATTATGGGATGATTCAAATACTGTAAAAAAATCAAAATATTTATTTNATCGGAGTTTAATTTCAATGAAGAAGCAATAAAATTTTGCCTTTATTTTAGGGGAAAAAAGGTTAAAATTTTAGCATCACTTCAGCAAAACTAACCTCTAAAAATTGAGTTTAACTAAGAGTTTACTTTTTTCTCCATCCTCTAAAGAAAAAAAAGGCCAAAATTTTAGCTAAAATAAAATTTTGTTTGAGCTGAAGTTTGACGAAATTGATAATGATTTATGATAATTAATACAATATTTAGTAAATAAAACAAAGGGTGTATATGTTAAAATTTATAAAAATAGGAAGATGTCAAGGTTGAGAGAAACTAAGAGTGATAATCTTTATACAACTCTTCTAAGAATCAAGGTCGTTTCCACTGCCCACCGAATCGACATTGTTGGTCAAGTTCCAATCTCTTCCCAAATGGCCTTGGACGATAGTGAAATTAACCATGATTATGGGATGATTCAAATACTGTAAAAAAATCAAAATATTTATTTTTTTTTAATTCATACGTAAACTCATTATAAAAGAATGAATTTTATCTTCCTTATCTTTCTCAGAATTCTTTGAAGTACTTTAATGGGTTAAGCAGTTTATAAATGAACAAACACTTTTATGATGATGTAAAGGAAGAAGAGAAAAAAATTGCATTATTTAAAGATAAGATTGAATAAATATCTAATAGATTTAGCAAACTGCGAATCGCTAGAATGCTTCACTGATTTATATAATGGAAGAAGGGGAATTGGACTTTCAATCTTTTAAAGTTAGAGTAAGGGAGAGGCAAGCACTTCTTTGGTAGTTTTTTCTTTTGTTAAAAAAACCTAAAATGATCAAGTTTAGATAAGATTTTATTATAAAATTATTGTGTATTTTTATATACACAAATTGTATATATTTATAAGAAGAAGAGTGATTTATTAAGCCACAAAATAAGGAAATTCTTCTTAATTTGATCAATTAAATGAACTTTTAAGTGTAAACATAGAATTTTATTATAAAAATTTCTCTTAAGATACTTA